CAATTTTACATAATTTAGTGAGAAGATTACCGGTATTTATCACTTTACACTAACCTTACATTATATATAATGTAATATTACATCATATTATCATTGGAAGATTAATGGAATTTTATGTCAATATTTCAGCAATCTTACAAAATAACTTCGCATTAAAATATTATTGGAAGACGTTATAATGAATCTTCTTTCAAAATTGCAGCAATTATTGCGTGCATTAATTTTTAATTGCCTCAATGTATACTTGCATATGATAATTTAATATTGAAATTACACAGCGTTCGATAATACGACATATAGCATAATATATATGATTCAATAGGAAAGTAGCTTTCCAAAGGAAAATTGAATTTTCTATTATATGCAAAAATTAATAAAAATTGTAACTTTACATTTATTTATGAGTAAAATATATCTTAACTATACATATTTCATCTTTTTGACAACATCTATTATACTGATATACTATTATATTCTTGGATCATCACAATTAAATCAGCAGTTTGCGAACGATTACAAAGGTTAAGCAACGTTACGGAAGGCTAATTGCATGGGTAAGCGCTTGTAAGATTCGCGAGAATTGTCCCTTTAAAAAAAAAACTTTATTCGATAAATCTTACAATCCGAGATATTAAAATCGAAAATCTGACGAGGCGAAATTTCGAGATAAAGCTAGCAGTAGCTTCTCAACAGTGCCAGTGCCGTATACTCACAGGTCATCATCCGATTTTTATACATTATTATACTTACTATTGGCGTCGCGCCGCTACTGCATTGCTTGATAATTTCTTATAGCACCTTATTACTCGCGTGTTACAAGATGTGCAGTCGGAGGGTCCTCTATATCGAAAAAATAGAAATATTGAAGATTCTAGGGCAAGCGAGTCATCGCATGATTCATCGTTATCATAACGGAAAAGTGGAAAATAATAAAATATATTCTGGGGCTAGCGAATCGTCGAAAAAGTATTCACCTTAATCTTATAATATCCTTAATATATAATATTCTTAATATAAAAGTATTCATCTTAATCTTATAATATCCTTAATATATAATATTCTACATATATATAATATATAATATTCTTAATATATTATATAATATAATATTCTTAATCTTAAAATATTTTAATACGTATATGTATATCGTTATTAAGTACAAGGAATGCTTTTAGGTCTTAAAATTCTAATCGAAAAAGAATGCTTTTAGGTAAACTTATACATTTGTTATCAAGTAGAGGGATGCAGGTTACATGCTTATAAAAACATCGTGAAATTAGTAGTTTTCAAATACATTTTTTAATCATAATTTTGTTGTATATTCTCTATCTTTCTTTGAAATATGATGCTAATCAATAACATTTTTTTAGCAATAAAACGAAAAATTGCTTTTAATTTGCACATCACTATAATATTGTATGAATATTAAAATACAATGTACCTTGATTTAAAATAATGAAATAATAAAACTATTATTTCATTATTTTAAATCAAGGTTTATTCTACATAGTTCCGTGACATTTTTACAAAATTAATTTGAATTGCAGCCAATGTTCGATAAGTTAATATTCTTTGAGATATGCCAATTTTTGCAATTAATTCTGAAATTTGGCATTTCATTTGCAAATATCTATGGTATTATTAAAAAACCCGTAATATATGTATTACTCGGAAATACAAATAACTATCTCGTCACCACGATCGGCGCTTCACAGCTTTGTTCAACTTTAAAGGATATTGTATATCTAACATGAGTAAGAACGTATTTGTATAGTCATCGGTTAAAAGGTTGCAACACTTTTTTTATAATCATTTTCGAAACACAGTTTATTCACCGAGCGATTGGTTCCTATACCAATGGATTTAACCAATTATGTTCAACCGCTTTATAAGCAAAACTTTATTCTAAAACTTATCAAAATAAAAAGTGTTGCAACCTTTATATGATCCACAGTATATACATGTGACATTGTAGACCTTTCAGCTATCTTTCTTAGCGGACTCACATAATGTGCTTTACACTGACATTATCGTCTCAAACAGTGCATTTGGAGGAATATAAAAGCATTCGTCGAGAACGAGGAAAGCTCGGCGAAATCGTGTCTCGAGAGGCACCCTCGAAGTATATAATCTGTTGACATAGCTGTCGTCTTTTATGATCATTTTTGAATATTTCAATCGTAATAACGCTCGTTATCTTGATTGCCTGTTTTTTTTTCGCGGAATCGCGATTCTATAGTGTGCGGAATTACGCAAATCGCTACGTAATCACAAATATAGCGAGAGATTATGGTATAATAAACGGTGAGCAAATGATCGATTCTCTGTTCATTCCCGAAAGATCCGCAGTCGCTCAGCGACGCGGAGACGAGCAATCATCGAGATGATCCTCGTTGTCCTGTGGATCCTCGCGCTGTCACTCGGCAATGACGTAATCGCGTCATTTCGCGTCGACGACGTTATCGTGAGGTTTATCGTCAACGCGACGCCCACTCTGTTCCCACCATCGAGAGTATCGCTACAACTGTGCATCAGCCATGGTAAGATTTTTCGTATTTATGTGATTTCTATATTGATTGTTTGTCGAGAAAAAGGTAGTGCTCGAAATTTTTGACAAATAATTAGTTATAATTTACTGCAAAAAATACGCTAATAAAGGAATTAGGAAATACTCTTCAATTTTAAATCAGTGCAAGAAAGGAGAATCAATCAAATTAAACAAGTGCAAATGTGGAAATTTGGGATAATTATCTCAATAAATATCTCTTACATATATTAACATAAGACAAATGCTTAGATGCATTTCAAACCCTCGCTCTTTATCCTTTCGTTAAATTTACAAAAATACTGTACAGGATATGTAAAGAAAAAGAGATTCTTGAGAAATAACAATATAGAGAAATAACCCTTAACTGTATAAATTACTATTTGTGAGTCCAGTGCACTCGCATCCATTGCAGTGTTCAAAGTTAAACGTAGATAAACCTATAAATCATATAATTTAACAATGTATAAACTTAAATTTACAAATAAAATATTAAACAATAAAATAGACAAAAGTTAGGCTAATAAATGAGAAACACTTTTTTGGTTGATTAATTAATACAAAAAATGATAATTTAATAATGCATAAATTGATGGAAAAGAAACCATCAATTCATGAATTATTAACTTATCATTTTTTGTATTAATTAATCAATCCAAAAAAGTGTTACTCGTTTATTAGCCTAACTCTTATCTAATTTATTGTTTTATACATACGAGCGGTAATTATTTTATATAACTTAATTAAATATTAAATTTATTTGCTGATGATGATTTTTAATTTACGGCGACTGAGTTTGTTGTCACGATTGTTAGCACCAATAGCGACACAACAATTTCATATAGTTTTTCTGGTTTAAATAATGTGAAATATTTCTTTGAAATAAACATTGTCTTAGAACTACATTTGCATCTAGAAGATTGATATAATTCTTATAAACAGCTGTAACATTATTTTTATTACGTTTTTATTTAATAATATCACAATAAGAGTTATAATCATATACATTTATCAATACAATATGGAATTAGAAATTATAGAATAAAGAGAGAGAAAGAGAAAGATTTGATATAAAAGTGTAAAATAAAATTATATTTTTAAATAAAAATCAATATTGTTTTATATTATAAATATATGTATTTAATCACAATTTAATATTGTATTTAAATTTGTAGTTAACGAAGAATGATAAATTAGTATAATGCAATAATTTATGAGATTATTCTGTGTATATTTCTTGTCTATAAATAATGTTGAATACATAATCTTTAAAAATTTTTTAATAAAAAAGTTTTTAATAAAAGTTTTTAATAAAAAAGTTTTTTCTTTCTCCCTGTTTTTTAAATTAAATATAATACACAACGAATTTAATACATTGAATTATGAACAATATATATATATATATATATAATTATTAATAAATAAGACGGAGAATATTAATAGTCTCTTGAATGTATTTATTTAAAGTTAAAACAGAAAAATTCTCTTTTTTATTTTATAAATATAAAGAGAAATAGCACCATAGTCAGATACAAGAAATAAGGATATTATGCGATATTATCATTCTAGTATATCATTATTCTTGCATAATTGGTAGATATAATCCAGGACAAAGAGGTCTGTTATCTAGTTTACTTTTTTCCAAATGAGTCATCTGACACACACTTCCTATTATAGCATTTCAAAAAAAGACAGCAATCATAATCCTTCTTACACTAAAATATTAAAAATGTAATATTTAGAGTTGTGTTATTCAACATTAAAAAATAATATTAATTTGCGGATAATATTGCGGATGCATCGATACAGATGTGAAACATTTTCTTGCTTTGATAAGTTTATATAGATTATGCACAGAACAAAACAAGAATTAAAAATTTTTTAACTCTATAATATTGTTTCCATTGTTTGTCTTTATAATGCAAAAAACGACTATCTTTCATAAAATATACTTATAATGTATAAATACTTACGCCTCTAGACTTTCCACGGCAACCTTTTCTATTCACACCCGCAATAGCATAACAAAACAGCCATAGCATAATAAAAGTAATGAAAATAACAAATCTTGTCTCTTTCTTCATCTTGTCAATATTTTCTGTAATTATTATTTTTATATTATTTATTTAAATGAAATTAAATAGAAAGAATAGGCAAGGAATAAATCAAATATAGTGAAATAATTGCCTATGAGAGCCGACACAGTTGTTCGTGTGTGAAATTTTTATTGCAATCCAACTACAAACAATTTGCGCGCCGCACGGTTTGTCGATCTTGAAACACAGCTCTTTTGCACGAAGCCGGAAACTTGTAACTAATTAAATTGACGAACAATTTAATATCTTTCGATACTAATATGCATTTATAAGATTCCCCTCCCCTGATCAATTCCCGGCTGGAAACTGAGATGTTATTTTTTGTAATAAATTTCTTTACAGGTTTGGGAAGAGAGGAATTTTATAGATGCATATTAGCATCGAAAGATATTAAATTGTTTATCAATTTAATTAGTTACAAGTTTCCGGCTTTATGAAAAAGAGCTGTGTTTCAAGATCGACAAACTGTGCGGCGCAGTTACACACAGATCGTGTGTGATTGGATATTGTAACAATAAGAATTTCACACATCAACACCTGTGTCGGCTCACATAAACAATTATTTAACTATATGGTATTTGATATAATTTTTTATTTGTTTTTTTATATAATGTCTATTTATATTTTTATGTAATGTATTTATTGATTTTTTATATCTACTATTCAATATGCGCATGCAATATACCTAATAATAATAATAGTAATACTTGTATAGAAATTGCCATTTTAATTTACGTGAATTTATCTTTAAAATAACGAAACTTAAATAATAAAGTTTAAAAATAAAATAAGTTAAAATAAAATAAAACAAAAAAAGGCTCATTAAATGACGAAATAATAATTAAAATGTGGACTATGAGCCAGAGTTTATTTAATTCTCTAATATATAATGAGTTAGTATCTTAACATAATATAATAAAAACAGACGTTTTGACCTACATCAGATCATTCTCAATGTTAAACGATAAAATTAAAACAAGGAAAAAGAATTTTTTAAACATAAAACGGTGAAAAATATAGATTTATCCATTATTAAAACTCTATTTGCAAAATAAAATGTCGTAACAATTATACCAAAATCGAAAATTCAAACGCAAATCCTCAAATTATCGCAGTGGACAATCGTCGAGAAGTATAAGACATACGTACGGTCCTCCCAGATTTGAAGCAGAGACATACCTACCATTTTAATTTCATGGTATAAGACTTAACTTTCTTTGACTTACAATAGCTTTAAGACTTGGCTTTGACTTTCAATACATAAGGCAAAACTGTCACTGTCTTTCATGCTGTTAATTATTCTAAATTGTGAACAATTTACAGACTTCTGAATTCAGCTACTCAAGCTTCCACAATGTTACTGCATTTTACAATGACAATTTTTGACCTTGTCTCTTATTCAAATCTGGGAGGACCGTACGTTTCTGTTTTATACTTTTCGACGACAGTCCACTGCGATAATTTGAAGATTTGCGTTTAAATTTTTGATTTTGGTATTGTTACGACATTTTATTTTGCAGAGTTTTAATAATGGACGGAATTTTTATTTTCGCCGTTTTATGATAAAAAAATTTGTTTTCTTGTTTTAATTTTATCGTTTAATATTGAGAATGACCTAATGTATGCCAAAAAATCCGTTTTTATTATATTATTTTAATGTACTATAACTCATTATATTAAAGCATTAAATAACTGGCTTATAGGCTTATAGCTCACATTTTAATTATTAAGTTAAAATAAGTTTTAAAAATAAGTTTAAATAATAAAACAAGAAACATTTTATTATTAATAGCAATAAATAGTTTTATATACATAGTTCATTATTTATTAATTTGTATTCTCAGCTTTTATTGTAAAAAATTGTATGAATTTTAGAACTTACCGTTCTTCCTGGGGAGTAAAATCGATTACGCAGGTCGTACGACGAGTCATAACTGGTTGATTTTTCAATTTTTAAAGAGTATTTATATGTTATTTCATATCTCATTTGTGCAATAAAAAATACCGGAAATGTATGTAATTGCTTAGATTACACGCTAAAAGTAAGAAAACATTATTTAGACAGATAACTTTGATTCCACGCATGGCAATAGTAACGTTTAATTTCACGAAAAACAATAAAACAATATTTCCGCATGTGGAAATGATATCGTTTTGTCACGAAAAACAATAAAACAATATTCAATCGATATGAATATATAAATTGTTTTATAACATTAAGCGTCACGTGTAATTTTAATGTGTACGTATAAACGCTATTATTAGTATCATTTCCACTTGTGATTATACATAAAATGTAAAACATTTTTTGATATTAATCTTGAATAGTTTCCGAGATATTGTATAACAAAAAGAAACTAAAAACTGCTTTACATATGAGGGATGATTTCATCCCTTTAAACCGTGTTTTAGTACCAACTAATTTTTTAAATTCATCTGTTTACGTGATCTATAAGTGTACAAATTTTCATTTAAAACAGAATTTAACACTTTGCGAGATTCCCTTGTTACTTACATTTTAGATTCTCAATTTTTAACTTAAATTATTATTACATTTTATCGGTAACTATTAACTTTTGACATAACTTTCTTGAATTTACACTTTTAGTGCTTCTCGTATACCCAAAATAAAATGCATTGTGTTGGCGTCTTCAAACTTAAATTTGAGAACGCACATCAAGGCATTTGTTATAATATAATAAATATAGTTTAGCCATGAGAAGGAATCACTGTTCGCGGACCTTTTATGCATTAAATCATGTTAGAAGAAGTCTTTCGAAATAGGTCCTTTTTCCGTAGCTCGACAGAAATAAGTATTACAAATATACACTTTATTTAGAAATTTTAAAATTATGAAATTTAAAAAATTTTACTTTTAATTTTTAATTACTTTTTTTATTAACTTAACTTTTAATTTAACCAGTTTTATTATGGACTAATTTGTATCTTAACTTAACTCATTGTAAGTTAAATTTTTAAGACTGTTAACTTTAACTTAACTTAGTTAAAAAAAAAAATTAACTTACCCAACCTTGCTGAATCCTAATCTGAGATCAAAATTTACAAATTAACTATATATATGTATATACATTGTATATGTGTGTTAAAAAATTAAATTGAGAGAAGATCAACGAACGGTCATAGCAGGATCTTGGTGCTTATTAATATTTCTGCGTGAATTTTACGTACATATTCTAGTTCCACAAACTGTGCTGCGTTTACAAATTAAATTCAAAATGGCGCAACTGGTGTAATGGAAAAACGAAATAATAGTCTTATGACTTATTGTTAGTTTCTGAGTATTTTGGAATCACTGAATCTGTTCCTTACTAAATAATTTATTTTTATATAAATAATAAAATGTTAAATGATTTACTAAAATTATTTGTATTATTGATCCATTGTACTGGATCGGCCATTTAGAATTTTAAAATTATTTTTAATTCATAATCAGCAACCCGAAAAATCCCCGAGTACAAAGTTTCAAATTAATCGGTCTGATACAAAAATTTGTGACACAAAAGATTAATTAAATTAACAATAAAATAAAATGCATTTCTTTAATATTATTCCATTAATAAATGACATTGTACATGTACAAAATAACTATGTATATATGTATAAATAAAACATATATATGTGAAACGACCTGCCCTTGATGCACCGCGGATTACTATGGGCAAAGGGATCGCGGGCAGGTTTGGGAGAAAGAAAGTGAAGCCGGTAGCGTGAGAAATTATTCTGAAAGTATAATTTAAAACAGAATAAACTTAAATTTCGCGAATTTATTAATTCGCAAAACACTAACAACTAAAATAAAAATGAGAACAAACGTTTGACAGTTAAAAGGATATATAACATTAAATAAATAAAAATAAATAAGAGAACAAGAATTAAATTCGGCCGCTCTGGTCGTCTATCGCAATGCTAATATCGGATTCGATCAAACGCGCCGAGATATGTAGCCGAATATCCCGCGCGGCGCCAGGTTCCGGGTGAGAAATACGCTCACGCGGTCGCGGGCGCGTGCTCGCGCTTCGTACGCGCGCACTTGATCTCCCGGCGATTTAAAACCCCGATTTAAAGGTCCCGGCTCGTAAACAACTTAAATGCCCGACGCGATGAAGATGGTAGGATGCCCCGGCAATAGCATGCGACTCAAGATAGAGAAACGCTTTAATTAATTTTACTCATTATTATTAGATAGAATAATAAAACTTTTAAAAATTATGTACAGAATGAAAATTGATAATTCCATACATATAGTATGATTGCAATTTTTGTTTAACAAGAACAGTCTAAATGGAGTAAATCGATATTTATTTCAACAAATCTATACATATATATCAATATTTCCAATCTTTTTCAAAACATAATTAAACAATACTTTATTAACTGCGGGCAAGTTCTGCCGGATTAAACACTGTACAATTTTTTTATCCGTATTGCCATTGAAGATTTCTTTTCTTTTTTTCATAATTTTTTGTATTGCTTCTTTAAAGCAAATACATAGTTATTTGTTTACATAATATATATACATATAGAATTATTTATTATATACAAAAAAGCAAATATAATATATCTATACAATACAAATAAATATATATATATATATATATATATATATATATATATGTATATGTATATCAAATACAAATCTAAATTTACGTGCATGTATGTGTCCTGCACTGTGCCCAGAATTTCTTAATTTTTTTTATATATGTAATACAATTTCTATCTTTATTTATTAATAACGGATAAATAATACTGGAAATCGAATTAAATATAATATTCTTTCACAGATATCACGACCAAATTGTCAAGAATATTGTCGAGCAACTATTTATCGCATAACATTCGTAACTTCTACGAGGAATTTGACCCAAAGATGTACAATAATTTGGAACATCAAAATTTGTACGTATTGAATTTGGATTGCGATTACGCTGTTAATATTTTACAACAGGTAATATATATATTTATGTATATTTGTATTTATGTACATCTGTCATAAGCATATTATAGATAAAAGTATAAGCAAACAAAAATATTATTTATAAATTATCAAATAAAATAATTTAAAAAATGAAGAAATTTTTCTCTATATTTCTGATATCTTGACTGATAAGACTCACAACATAAACGACTTCCGTTGTTATGTTATGTATTAATTTTTCAATTATTGATTGATCTGATATGCAATGACAGGCACATTCGAAAAGAATGTTCATCGCTCCGATGAAGTGGCTGCTTTTTCAAGATCAAAAAACGGTGATTGACAACGACAATAACGCCAATTTAACTTCTACATATGACAATTCTATATTGGAAATCTTCGAAGATTTGGCGATCTATCCTGATAGCGATGTAATCCTGGCGCGAAGATTCGATGGGGACTTTCTCGAATTATTATCCGCATACAGACCAAGTCCACAGCGAGGTGTAATGTGGGAAAATCGTGGAAATTGGACGATTGAGAACGGTCTACGAATGAGCACAATCGATGTGGCATCAGCAAGAAGAAGAAATCTTCAACAGACGGCTCTTAAATCTTGTCTCGTGGTACTTTCAATAAATATAATCGTCTATCATGCAAGAAACTCAAATATCAGAGAGACATTGTTAAAGCATTTTGTATGCTAGCTAATGCAACATGTGTGTAACATTTAACATTTGTGTGTAACATTGATACATTAATGAAAAGTAAAACGAGTAAGGTACTAGCCACTGTTACAATAAAATTTCGAAGACGCTATAATTTACTCTCCAATTTAATTATCAAATTTTTTTTATCAAAAGAGATATATTTTCTTTCAAGATTTATTGCAATTACAGATGACGGATCCCAATACGATCAATCATTTGACCGACTTCAAGGATAAAGCCATAGATCCTGTCACAAAGGTTACTTATCCTTGGATACTGCATTTAGTGAAACGAATGAATGCAACGTGAGTTCAATACCTTCGACAATATCATATCAACGCTAACAAAAAATATTTCGTTACGATAAAGGAAGGAGAGGCAAATAGTGACAGAAATATTCAAATATCAGAAAAAGATCTAGCTAGGTTTTACCTTATTTTACAAATGCAAAATTTTTAAACTTCTCCTCTAGCTATATATATTTGACTTTTGATTTTTACAGCTTTTTAGAAAATGATTAGATGCTTTCTATTAACGAGAACTCTTTCTATTAACGAGTAGTAGTAAAATAGCTGCGGAGGCGTAAAATCTTGAATTCGCACCGGGTGTAAAGATTAACTAGTTACGCTACTAATATTAGTACCACTGAATAATAAACAAATAGGCTAATAAACATATTTTATTCCATCAATTAATCATTACATTTCGCCCTCTTAATGGCGCAGATATATCTACATATAATATATAATACAAGGACAATACCACCTTCTCTTCTATTTTGTTTCGTTTATAAGCATATGATGAATTTTCGAGTCATGAAATACATATTGCGTTATAAATTGCCGACTTAAAATTCCGTTTTTTGTTTTACGACAGGATAAGTTTTGAAGTCACCAATAGTTGGGGATATCGCGCCGAGAATGGCTCCTGGAGCGGAATGATCGGGATGTTGGAACGGCGCGAGATCGATATCGGCGGCACCACTACATTTCTCGTGTCGGAACGTATCGATGTTGTGCAATACATCCAATTGTATACACAAACGTGGTAAAAAAATTATTTATTAAAACGTAATTTAACTTATTTTTCTAAAGACGTTTTTTTCAAGACAATTTCAAAGACAACGTTAATAGGGAGACGCAAGAAATAATTAAAATTTCAGTTAAAGGATTATAATTTAACTTTTAAATGTAAATTTGACTAAAAAAAGATTATTAAACTGTTATTTATTTAACTTTTTATTTTATTTTATTATTTTTTATTTTACAATGTTCTAATCAATGTTTTATTTATAAATCTACACAGCGGGCGCTTCGTATTTCGGCGACCTTTACTGTCGACCGTGAGCAACATATTTACCTTGCCCTTTCAACGAAATGTTTGGGTAGCGATCGCAGTGTTTCTTATTTTGGTCTTCTGTTTGCTCTACTTATCCATCAAATGGGAATATTATCGTGATGGGATGACAAAATCGGTAATCCATTGGAATCAATTAAATCCAAACAAGCCAACGATCAGCGATAATCTTCTCATTCTTTTAGGTGCATTTGCTCAGCAAGGTAGAGAAACGACTTTTGATAACATTATAATATTATTTATATAAGCGTAGGCTTGGAATATTATTCTGAAAAATCTGAGATTAAATCTTATTTTTCTCGTGCAAATGCGTAAACCGAAATATTTATTTCGCGACCGTACGGACTAAATTATTTTTATTTCGTTCAATATAAGATTTATAAGGTTTATAAAATTGTACTCTTTCAGGATATTCGTACGAGCCGTACAGAGTTTCGTCTCGAATAGTTACTCTTATGTTACTGCTAACCTCGCTGAGTCTCTATGCGGCTTATACAGCGAATATCGTGGGTTTGCTGCAGTCTACCACGGATTCTATCAAAACTCTTCCGGATCTTCTAAATAGTCCTTTAAAGCTGGGCGCGACGGATATAGTACATAACAGATATTATTTCAAGGTCGGTAGACCGAAATCGAGAAAATTAATAATATGAAAACTTTTATTGTATATAATGTATTATCATATATTTCGAGACTAATTATAATGGTGTAGAAATTATGAGTATTAAAAGATAGTTATGAAAAATAATAGAGGTGTGCGAATTAAGCATTTTAATGGTCGAATTGAATCGAATTGCATTTTTTATAACATGTTCGAAATCGAATCGAATCGAATCTCTTTAATTCGAATATGAATCGTATCTGAATCAAATTTTCCCAGATTAACATTATATGCTAATTTAAACATAATAAATAACAAAATTTATAATTTACATTATTTTACGCAATCATTTAAACAAACTGAAGACCTGTTTTCGATTTACATTTTATTACAAAGGATCATGATCTCATGTGACATTTTGAACTAGAAAGTATGTAATTAAGGGGGTATTCTAGTGTGAACGTCCGTTATTAAGGTGATTTTTGAGAATTAATTTTATAAAAACGGTTAAACCTATAGATGTAATGTTTTGTTTTTACATTTATACATATTTTGAACATCTCAAATTTTTTTAATGCTTTTTATTGAGAATTACACACGGCACAATGGACGCGCAGGTCATGTTTTGAAATTCCTCTTCTATCGGGCGTAGTGATTGCGACCGTCCTCGTCATCTCAAATAAACAAATTTTTTTATATTTTATTTCTTACAAATGTGTTTATCGTTCTACTCTCTAGTAAATCATTTGAAGAACAATTGACAAAATGGCGATGCTTGAAAAAAAATAGTTTGATTTTTAATAAAAAATATTTAATTTTCACGGTCCGGAAAAATAGTAATTTTCAAGAGATCAAAAAGTTGGAGGGTCAAACGATAGCCTAATATGTACACTATATGTATGCAAAAGCGCAAGTCGATCGGCCCAGTAGTTTGTAAGAAAAATACACGCCCGATTTGAAAAATGCCAATTCGAGAAAAACGCGTTTAAAGTTTCTCATGCGTTTACAAGGTGGATAATGAATAATTTCAATAACTTACCCCACAGCACAGAAGTTTGCAGCAATATTGCAGCAAAGTTGCAACATTGCATATTGCAATGCAATGCTTCAGAAACATTGTTAAAATATAGATTTGCAACATTATTTTAATAATGTTGTAACAATATTTAAAAGAAATGTGAAAAGAATCAACTACGATTTTGTGTTTAAATACTGTGTGTATACGCTTACGCACATCTTATAATCGTTAAGTTTTATTAAATATCAATTCATTTTACATAACAGCACATGATAATCTTCGTTTTCCGTTTTCATGTACTACGATCATCTGTACAACTGAGATCAACACAATAATATCTCGTAAAGTATCATTCCGTTTTCTTTCGCGCGTGTATGATCTCAAAAATAACTCCAAATAAGTTACGGAAAGTGATACGTGTACGCTTGTCTAACACACGCATATCAAAGAGAACAAAAAAGTTAGTCAAAATATTATATTTTGTACTTTAATATATGTAAATTTTATATTTACGAATGAAATATATTTTAACTATATGTGTTCTATCTTCTTGACAACTTCTATTCAGCAGATGTATCACTGGTATATATCTATTACCAATAAATGTTCATAGATCATCACGTTCCCGGACGATCATAAAGGTTAAGCAGCGCTGGACTAGGTACATATAGCTTGGATGGGTGACCGCTTAGAAATACAAACTAAAATTAGTTTCCAAACTTATTTTTTTAATCATAATTTTGTCGTGGTATTTTCTTTTATTTTCTGGTATATAATGCTAATTAATAAAATTTTGCGATCGTTCTCAGAATATTCCTGTGCTGTTAAGAGGATGCTGAAAGGTCGGGAATTACCGACATTTGCATTCTAATGGATAACACCGAAACGATTGAACGGATTTAAAAACGCTTTTACAGGATTGAAATAGACATAAAATATTATTGCGCTAGGTATATATG